ATATATATATATGAATACATATATAATCATATATATATATGGTTTCTTTGGCTGCTGCAGGTTTTTTTAATGTCATACAATTATGGGAGTGGGTGGGCTGAACCTAGCCGAAGAAGCATGGAGTATAATTAGCAAAGCATGAATAGAAGAAAAACAAAATAAACACACACAGAAACAAATGGTGTTGGCATCCCAGAGGGAGAAGGAACGTTTGTTAACTAATTTTCATTTTGCTCCTCTCCTGCTTTCCTCTGCCATAGTCCCAATATTTTAGTTCTGTTTTTTGTTTGTTTGCTTTTATTTTTCCAGCAGATGAAGAAATGACAGAGCAGGACAGGTGTCTTATGGTTTTTGATTTCTTCTTAGGCCTGTTTAATTATTTTTTTCCTCAGTTGACTGTTGGCACTTGGTTCCTCTGTAAACTATATTCCTTGGCCTTCAGTCTCAGGTTGGCAATGCTGTTGGCCATGTTGATGCCCTGTGCAGGGCTATTGTTGGCACATGTGGCAGAATAAGTAGCCATGGCGCTGTAGGGACAAAGGAGAGAGCAGGGAGAATAACAGGCATTAGTTTCACAGAGCTGCAAGTCCATGCCCCAAGTGGATATGCTCTCAGGACAGGGCCAGGCAGGGGCAGTAGGTAGGTAAAGGACCTCTAGGGTCTCTTACAGCCTCAGCTTTCCTCTAGTCTAAGACATTTGAAAAGGGCAGCCATTTTTTGCAGGGCATGGGCAAGCAGAGGAGAATGAGACATAGGAGGGAGGCATATTTGCTGTGTCAGATACAGTTGAGTAATGATAGATTCAGTGAGTAATAACATTTCTGGAGTGGGAGAAAATGCTGCTCAAGTCAAATGGCAGGTGTTTTGTCAACTAGTTAAAACGGGACTTCATCTTCCTTTCTGCCTATACCAGACAACTTATGGGAGCAATGGAGGAGAAGGCAAGCATTTGACAGTAGACTGAAGGGAATTTTGCCTCTTAATTTAGGTAACTGACCTGGATTCTAATGCATTTTGACTAATCAAAATACCATAATAAATACTATATTTGTCAAATCAGATAAAAATTCCAGGATTGCTCTTCTGGTCTGTTGATTCACTGATCAATAGTAACAAGCATTACCAGATCAAGAGGTTCCTACCAGCTGGCCTTGATTTTATAATTTCTCCTCTACAGTATCTGAGTAGCATACAATCCCGATAGGGTGAGTCTTTTTGGAAACATATAACGTTCCAAACAAACTATCCCAAGTTCTAGTTTGGCATTCTTGATCTAAGAGGTAACCATTTCTCTGTGTCTACATTGTTGGGAGAACACAAAGTTGTCAAGACTACAATTAAGACCTAAGCAAGAATTTAATCATTTGTAGGTTTCTGTTAAGTGCATCCATGAATCTCTTTTAAATGAAAAAAAGAAATGGTTTATAAATTTGGATGAAAATTGCCTCTTACTTTATATGAAATAATTGAAATGAGACTTTTTGAATTAAAAGAAATGCTTGTGTCTAAGATTAGTAAGATCCCTTTCAGCTGAGGGTTGGAATGAGACTTATAAATGGAATGGCATATGCTTTTCTGATTCACTCCAATGGAATTTTGTCAGCTACACAGGAGTTTGTGGTATGGGAATCAAGTGACAAGATCAGAAAAGAAGGAAAATTAAAGCTGCTCTGCAAATAGAGGGAATATCATGGGAACATATCTGGGACAGCACAGGGTCAAGACTACATTTAAGATTTACAGGAGCCTATTTCGGCTCAGGTTCTAGCCTTTACCCAGGAAGACTGAATCAAAAAAAACACAGTGAGTTCCAAACCACCTGGTCTTTCCACAAATATGAATCTTTAACTTAAAAGCCTTATTACATTGGTGTAGGTGTTTGTGAGAAAATATGTGCACATTATAGCAGAAGGAAAAAAAACTAAAGAGTGTTACAAAACAGTCCTACATTTTTACATTTCATTCTTGCCAGTTTTTACTCTTATTGATCATTTCTGGGTATATAATCCTAAGCCTCCCTCTCCAGACAAGGGAAGGTCCTCCCACCACACCCTACATTTCAGCATTAATTAATAACTTGCTTAGTATCTATCACTGTGCTTTATATGTCCCATAGATCACCATACCTGTCTTCACAGTCAGTGCATCCTCAAGTAAAGCTAACACCATATCCAGCACATATTGGGTGTTCAATAGACTGCTTAATGAATTGACAAATAACAGAGTCATTTGTACTCAATGTCCCTTATATCTGTCATTCCAATGTAACAATATCTTTGAAAATCCATTGATCTTAAGAACTAATCTTTACTGTAGAATTTCTTCTCTTAATAGAAGGCAGAAAATCAGAAGGATGAGGTAAAAGAGGGCTTATTGTTCATTGCTTATTCTTAGATCCATAAAAACATTTTTTTCACAGCAAAAAATATTAATACATCATTAAAGTTTAATAAACTAGATTGATATTTTTATCATTGTCCACCAAAGGACAAAGTCAGAAGAGTCCCCAGTTAAATCAGGCTTAAATTAGGAAGGAGATCAATGACCAGAACAACCCATTAAGACAGGAAAAACGTGTGTTTTGTTTTTGGGGGAATGTACAAGCAGATGTCATACACATATTATTTAGTTCCTAGATGAATTACATTCTTCCCTTCAACACCCTATCAGAAATATGTGCAAACTTGCAAAATATGTAGACCAGAAATTTCTAAGATATACCAAGGATCCAAATATCTAATTGCAAAGAAAAGAGATAACTATATTTTGGAAATGTATCTAACAAGTGGATTATTATAAAACCACCCAAATTAACTCTTCTCAACCAGGTATCTGTGAGAATATCATTCTATAAAGATGGTACATAGCTATTGAAATAGAAGCTGGAACTACAAGATATATCTATTGTTTTTTAAATACGAAGAATAAAAAATTGAGTGACTTCTGAATGCACAAGGCTAATACTTTATAAGAGAACTTGAAGAAAAACAATTCCCTGGTGGTAAATTGTACCTTGTTATGGAACGTTTTTCCTTTTACATACTTAGCCCAAGTTTCTAAGTCCCCATACTTTGAGATTCTGAGCAGCAAAGTCTTATTTAATAGAAATTCACCTTTTCTTTGATAAAGATATGTTCCCTTTCCTTACTGGAAAAAGAGATTAGAACTTTTGGGAGAACGCTTTAATTACTGAAGTTGTAGTTACTGTTTTCCTGAATTGTGTACTATAGTGATGACACCAGTTTTGTTTGTTATACATAATTTTTACTGCAGTTATTTTAGAGTCTACTATGAGTTTTTTTCCTTTAAGGTAGACATGACAGTAATAGTCAAAGTAAGAAGACTATGGATCAAGTTTCTCACTCAAAAACAAAAGAATAGGATTTATGATTGTATACTGCACAGGAGATTGGATATTCACGAAGGCATTTTTTTCTCTTCAGTGGCAGCCTGCATTTGGGCAGGACAGAACAGTGTCCTTGTCCATTCTATGGTATTGCATCATAAGAACAACAGTCTAGCACTGAGTCTGTGGCCATACTTTATAGAAAATACACAAGCTAGTGGGGTTTAAAGATAAGAAAGCAGCTGAGGCTAATGAATGAGTTTTGTACTTTCCTAGGAAATTGGTAAGTTACATAAGTTTGATTGATAATGCTAAAGAAAGTCATAAACTATCATTAAATTGATCTACTTTATTTCATGAATGAACATGTAGGTTATAAAGAACAAAGGCCATTTTATTTCTTTGCCTCCTGAAAAACGCTTAGACTATATAATCCTATGGATAGAAATTTCAGTGATATTTTGTCTGTTACCCTCCGGTTTTTTGACATGTGTCTATTTTTATAACTTGTGCTAAATGTGCAATATAGGCAAGCAGTGGGCAGCACTCTGCCATAGCTATGACAAACAAGACTTGTTGCAGATCAGAAAGACAGAATTAACTAGAGGATGCTCCAAGAGTTGCTTAGTCATGCTTTAAACATAGCTCTGGAAGTAGGTAGGACTTGCTAAACTGACAACAGATGCAGGAGAGCCTTGAATGCCTGCCAATCTGAGAGACGGTTCATGACCACCTGTTTGCTATGTCATGGAAACTTTTGAAATGCTGCTTTAGGAAAAGAAAGAGAGCTCTGAAAGGTCTTCCCACAAGAGAGATGCCAACGGGAGTAATTAGTTGCTTTAAACCAATTAATGGATCATCCAAACCATTTAAAATGACTCTTCCTTCCTATACAGAATTAAACTTCCTAATACTGAAAAACTAAGACAGAAACTCAGTGTTGTGTATCGGTTAAGCACAGAACAACCACGTATAGCCTGATTAACAGCCAGAGATCCTACACGCTTGGCTTCCCACTTGGGTAAGACCCTTTTATTCCTGTATGCAGGTTGCAAATATGAGCTAAGTCCTGGGACCAAGTTTATGCGGTTTGGCTAAAGTACCATTTCTGTTGAATTTTTACTAGAACTCTTTGTGTCTGTGACCAAGAAATCATATTGCCAAATAAAGTGCATGGAGACATTAAGAGATGGGAAAGAAATGTTTGTCTCCCATCTGCTGACTCATCAAGTCTGCACTGGGACTTTCACAGAGCTGACACATTTTAGGAAGCATGAAATTTTCCCATTTCCTTATTTGGAGATTCCAAGCAGATGCAGCTCAGTAAAATGCTAACCCCAAGAGCAGGGTTAGATAATTGTTTCCACTAAAGACAAGTCATTTGTGAGCAGTTCAACTTACTCTGAAAGGTGGTTTGAGGAAAACAGTTAAAATAACTGCCAACACCAAGGAATTACAGAAAATACTATTAGTGGTTTGATTTGAAAGCCAGGAAACTTATAGGCATCTGCCGCTCTGCTTTCTAATCATCTGTAGAATAAATCCCATAACTTACAAAACAATTGAGGATAACTTGAGTAAAAAAATGCTTGAATCAAACTTGAACTTTAATGCTGTTTTCTGTTTATCCCTTTTGAATAAATGGTAACAAACTGCATAAAAATTCACCCCAAAACAAATGCGAAGCATGTGAATTGTCCTCAGAATCCAGGGTTCCACCCACTCGGGACTGTTTTCAAAGCCTGCAGTTATCTAGACCCTGATATACAGAGGTTGAACGCTATCTCTTTGGTTTGTTCTTTTGCCAGCGTAAGAAAAATGGGGATATATCTGTTTCATCTAAGAAAGTTCAGCGTCAGCTTTCCTAGGGAAATTTACTTCTAAAGTGAAATCCCATAAATACTTTTGGAATCGATCTTGTATAGTTTAAATAATCACTTCTTCTTGAAATTCAAGCATTTAGTTTTAAAATATCTATTTGACTTTTCTAAGTGGACACACATGGACCACATTTCATTGGTAAGGCTTTAGTTTCTACTACACATTCAGTGATCCCTCTGCAATGTTTAACTTCTTCTTTTATGTTTTTATATATAAAGCCTGTATCTCTACTGCCAGAATATATTTTTTTCTTTTTCTTTTTCTTCAATATTTAATATAGCACATTAAATAGTTTAATCCCAGTATTCTAAACTCCCTTGGGAGTTATATAACAGGGAACCTTTGTTTAGCTCAATTTTAAATGTAGGATTACATAATAAATCAATGATTGTATTGGCCTGAGAAGCAAGGACAAAAACAGTCTGGCCCCTGGCTCATACTCTAGTCAACTAGGGCCTCCTATTCAAACTGTGTTGAATGTGACCATCGTGGGAATCACCTCACAGTGGGACAATACTGAGAAATGCAGAATCCCAGTCCCACCCTTGACTTAGTGGATCATAATCTACACAGGCATGTCACAAGGATTCCTGTGTACAACCGTGTTTGAAGAGGGTTGCTCTAGATGCTCACACTCCCTTAGCATTGTGCGCATGCTTTCTTACAAGACTAGCTTCTGATACTATTCACTACTAGAGGCCCTCCACTGCTTACATTTCTAGGACTTCAGCCCCCACTTTCTTTAACAAAGCTAATTCCCACTTAAACCCTACCCCAAAGCCTCCCTCCTCCCCCTCTGACAAGTTACCTTTTCAGTGTCTTCCGTTAGAATCCGTTATGAAGCCCCTCGTGTAAACAACATCTTGGGAGGGACGAGGATCTATTTTTGAAAGTGTGAAAGGAAGAAATAAGCCAAATGCGTTCAGCAGATGTCAGCAGCACCATGACCATGACCAAATGAGGGGTGGGACTCTATATGAGAATAACCAACCTCTTTCCCTTGCCACTAGTTTTTTTCCAAGTCCAGCCCTCCCTCTGTAAATGGCACTCCTGACCAATACTAAAGAGCCAAGCCATCACTATCTACCTCTCATAATAACAAAGGCCTCTAGTGAAAGTTTTCCTGATTACTTTATCTTAAAGAATAGTCAATTGGACAAGATTTGGTTGATCATTGCTACCCAAGAGGCATAGTCCTATAAGAATAGTGAGTCTGAATAATTTGGGTGGTTTTGGATGCTTTCACTCTCATAATTTGCTTAAAGAAAATAATTTTCATCTAAGCATTGGGTTTATGTCCACAAGACAAGCTTGCTCCAACTGGCCACAGGTAAGTAAAAGGCAACCTCTGCCCCCAAAGCAGTGTCCATGTTGGGAAATGCTTTGATCCTTCCGATACCTCAGCTAACCGTCTGACATCATCGTCTAACTTGCTCAAGAGCATGAGTGAGGTCCTGGCATGCTATAACTAGAAGTAACTAACTGTCCTAGTTTTCCAGGGATAATCCAGGTTTATACCTGTTGTTCTAATGTCATTATTAATATTGCTCCCCTTTCACTCTAGGAATTTCCCTGTCCAGATGATGCATTATACAATCATAAGTCTAGATAGAAAAGACACACATTTAAAAAAAAAGTTGGTTATTTCCCAGCCTGTCATTCTAACTATATATAAATATTTTATGACTTGGTTTCCTGTTCTTCTTCAAAAGAAATTGAGAAGCTGTTCTCTCTGACAAACCTATCTACTTGCTGTTTCTGGGTTTCTAATCACATAGGTTATCTAGCTGGGATGCCCACACCCCTGGAGGTAGACCTCAGCTGTAGACATGCTTTGTTGATCAAGATAGTACTTGAATGAAGAAGGAACATTTAGTTTTCCAATCTTATACTTCTTACTACTTTGGATACAATTCGAAGTTAAATTTGAATGGAACCATGGCCATGCAGCCTAATGTGTTGGACAGAAACAGGCTCACAAGTGTTGTTCTACTTCTGCTTTCTGAAGACTCAAGCCCAGGGAAGTGTTCAGTCTCCTAGTTTGGAAGCAGAGCAAGGACAGAGCTGTCACACAGGAGTGCACCATAGGTTAACCAAGATAAACGCCTTTCAATGAATATCACGTGTGAACTAACTAGCTTGACATAATGGTATCAATAAGAGTAGCAAGATCTGTCATTTCTTTTGCTTTTCATCAATTGTTTTACTTTTATATTTCCTTAACAATAATTATATTTCTTAGCAAGTTTCAAAATGTAAAAACCCATAAGATATTTGATAGTAAACATAGCAAAAATTCTCAGAGTAACAGAATAGCTTTTTGCCACTTTTAAAAATTAACCAAATTATAAGCACTTCTGTGAACATTAGGTCAAAGAAACATAGCATTGATTAAATTGCTGCTTGAAACCATTGCTTTGTACTTATATTGGAGATTAATTTATTCTTCATACAGAATATGAACAATCAGCTTCTATATTGTTTTAATTAGTTTTTACAAAATCTGTATTTAGGAGAGAAATAAATGCATACCATGAAATGAGTAAAGAGCACTAACTTATACAGACTTAAGTAAAAAGAGAAGAATACAAAATATTATGTACACTAAGGCTATCCCCTATATAAAACATTGAACTCTAGCCATAAAATGAACTAACTAGTTATATCAAAATGGTAAAATTATGAGTGCTTTTGGAAATATATCTAGAATTTCTACATAAACTTTTCAATTAAAATAGTATATTTCCCAAAAAGGCACACATGAAGCAACATGTTAATAATTTCAGTTAGATGCTCATATACAAAATATATAGATGTCAACACTGAGGCTTGCCTTTATCTTTAGTCCAGGGAGCCTAGTCCAGTGATAGGAGTTCATCCCTATTTGTGTGGTGTGCTGTGTTCAGCTTCATGGGTGAAAGACCACATGGAGCCATCTGGATTGTTGATGGCTGGTGTGAAAAGTTCCTACAGAAGGCCAGGCAGAAAAAGGAGCAATACTTCCTGATTGTGACCAAATTCCAGCCAGAGATCTTGAGGCACCAAGCTTTGAACTCTACCCATTTCCCAAGCCATTTGCTAAATCTGTGGACTACTAATAGTTGTAGGAGAAACAAATAGGCCTTCCACTTTTTTAAAATATTAAAGAGTATGTGATTTCACAATGGTCTTCAAAACATGTTTTTAGTAAGTCCTGTGGGAGAAGCATCTAAACTTTGAGTAAAGATTACAGATGTGACTAATTTCTCAAAATATACCAGGCTAGGGGCAATGGATGCCCAGAACAGGAATGGGTCCCTTATACTCTTTGACACTTGAGTATCTATGTGCTCAGATCAGGGCTACTTTAGGCTAACTTCACAACAAGAAATGTACAAGAAATTTCCAAATGCATTTATGGTATTTCTCTGAAGAACTGATGTGGACCAGAAAGATCATTTAGGTGAGACTTTTGGTTTTAATTATCCTACCAACTGCTGGAAACCATGTGTTTCACAAATGTAGCATTTCACACCAGGGGTCTACTTTAACTAGGCTTAATCATCTGTACCAGTTTAAAGCCACAATAATTAGCTTTAAGAATAAACACGGTAAACAAAAGCATAGAAAATGAATTTGTGCATAGTTCTTCCATAGAAACCAGTCAGAGAGAAGAAAATGTAGCCTTGACCTGGTATGTTACATTTCAAAGAAAAGCACTCCAGACTGATCACAGTGTGTTAAGCACGTGAGTCTCAACCTGTGCTTTCTGAACAGTATAATAAATGGAGGTTAAAAAACTCCTGATGAAACTGAGTCTTCTTTTATACGCTTCTTCAAATTTTTTCACTTTTTCAATATAAAAATTGAATGTAAAGTATACATTCTTTATTTAAAACTCATACCACACAAACACAGAGAGAGGGAGGGAGGGAGGGAGGGAGGGAGGGAGAGAGAGATCTTCAGACAAATAGGTAAGAGTTAGAAATAGAATAGAAAGGCATTTGGGGATCTTCAGAAAGTCTCACCACTAATGAAGAGCTAAGGTCATGAAAGTGATCAAAATGAACTTTCATTTTCTTCCTTTCTCTGTCACTGAGTTTTTCTCCCCCTCCCTTCCTTTCCCTTTCTCTTCCCCCCCCCGCTCCTTATTATTCGTTATGACTTTTATTGTGAAGAATGCCTTTAATCTTAAACGTGGAGCATTACACATTGGTCACCTACTTGACCATAATACAGCAACTCTATCTTAAATTTCAAAATGGGCTAGATTTGTTCCAGAATGGTTCCAAGAGGGGCACTAGACACAGTTTACAAAGGTTCTTTTATATTCTTTCCCAACTTTGCAACCTTGGCAAGAATTCCTGGGTCCAAGAGGAGATTGCTGATGGGCTGCCCCTCTCTCTTCTGCCCCAAACCCTGCTCCTGGGGCAACTAGTAATCTCCTGTAAAACTGGGGATGTCAGCGAGTTGAGTGTCTCTGAAGAGGTTAACCAAGTAAGGACTGTCAGCCAGCTGCAAAAGCAGCCTTGAGTGTGGCCGCTGAGGAACATGTGGAAGTGGAGCAAGGGAGAGTGGGCCAGTCATTCACCTGTACGGAGAGGCTGTCCCCCAGGACAGATAATCGGTGGGTCTGGGAGCAGGGCGAGGTACGATGGGCTGCTCCACAGCAGTCACGTCTCCTGAGTAGGACTTGAGGAGGGAAGCATTTTTATTGGCCAGCATGGCTCTCTCATTCCTACGGAACTTGGCTCTTCGGTTCTGAAACCACACCTGGAATGTTGTTTGGAGGAGAGAAAGATGTAAGGAGGGAGAGGAAGAACAAAGAAAAATAGGTTACATGAATGAAATTCTTGTTGGTGTCACTACATAATGTCATTCCAAGGAAGATACAGGATGGGTTTGGAATTCTCCCCCCCAAAACAGAAACGCTACCACGTACTAATCCTTCCCTGGTAGGCTGTGCTCTTCAGAGTTAGGACTACAGGGCTGAGGAGTACCTGGGTTACCAGGTGCTGGTGTGTGCTTAGCATGTGCAAAGACCTAGTTTAAGTTCCCACACAAAGCAGGACGATGAACTACTTTGAGTAATTAAGAATCTGTATGGATCACTCAACCTGAACCCTCACAGGATTCCAACCACAAAAAAATTCCAGAACCTTCTGAATCAGTTTCCTCAGCCACCACCAGGGCATAGACGGCTTTCCTCTTTATTCACTGCACTGAGATTTTTCCCTCTCTCTTCAGGAGAATTTTGGTGTAAAGCCTTGTTTCCCTACATCTGAAACTTTTTTCACATACTTCTTTAGGCTGAAGGGACCACCAGTGCTTTCCAAGCCCTTACCCTTTTTCACTTCCCAGAGACATACATTGGGAGAATATAGAAAGTCGTATACCGAGTGTTCTCTTAATTCAGTTTCTCAGTATTCATCTCCCACCTTCTCCAGCATTTGTAATCATGACTACTTAGAAAAAGTTTCTGGAAGTTTTATATATTACCCAAGGCTGAAGAGGAAAGCTCAGGTGAGAATTAATGGTTTTGGACACCTTAAAGTTCAAATTGAGAAAGGTAAAAGATCAGATGAACAGTGTATATAACATCAATACCCAAAGGTTGAAAGCAATGGAGAAGAAATGGACCTTCCCAAGGCATCTTCTGACCTCCCTAAAGAAGAGTTATTTGATTTAAAAAGAAAATACCATTCAACCCAAAGAAATACAGTAAAGATCGGAAACCTTTTGTCATGTCGTTTGTAACACTTATCAGTAGAAGCTCCTGTCCCAAACCTAGAACTTATATTCTTACACAATCTTCAAAGATTTATCTCTGCAGAGGAGACACTTGGTACCAGCCTCCCATGGCCTGAGTTACCTGCACTCTGGCCTCGGTGAGGTTCACCCGACGAGCGAGGTCTTCTCGCACAAAAGCATCAGGGTAGTGTGTCCGCTCAAAGACACGCTCCAAAGCCTGCAGCTGGCTACTATTGAAGGTGGTCCTGTTCCTCCGCTGCTTTCTCTTCTTCTTTTCCTCTGAGTTCAACTGATCATCTGGAATGGAAGTGATTGATAATGAGTCATTCGGATCACTTTAGGGGCCCCAGATGTCCTGTTTTTCACTAGCATCTATAATGAGAGGTTGCTCCTATCATATACATCCTTAGCAAACTACTAGAGGCAAATGGCACTTTCTTTGTGCAGGTGCTGGAATTGGTGTCACAAGTCATAGGCCAAGAACCCTCTGCATTTCTGATTTCTGGTTGCTGCAGCCAAATATGGGATTAGGCTTGAGCTGCCTACCTGAAGAATATTACTCTTTGGAGCTTGTTTTGCTAAAGGGGACTAAAGGAAAAATCTCAATCTTATCTTTGTTCTCTGCATTTAACTAGAGGTAGAAAAAGAAGAGTAGATTGCTTTCTACCTATTTCTGCACACAATTTAAAGTTTCATCTCTACTTTTGCCAGCTACCTCTAGTTCCTTCTCTTCACCATAGATATAAGAACTCATGTGCACACTTACAGAAAAGAAACTGTTCACACAGAATCAGGATTTCCATTTTACCATGCAGTCTCCTTGAAACAGTGACTAACTCATAACAATGTTCATTAAAGTCCTTATGCTGTTGTCAAAGCAGGCTTCAGCCTAGATCAAGGGCTGTGTGACACAATACCAGGAACTCAAGATGCCATTAGGCTGCGGCTCACCATAAGAGAAAACAGGAACAAGGAACAAGACCCTGAGTTCCCAGAAACAGCTTCACCTTACTTTGAGTTACAGTCTGAGAACATGGGGCCTTTGGGGAATCATATCCCTGAATATTTACTTGCCAGGGTTCCTTCTGGATTAGCTCTGAATTATCCCAAAGGCATCTTGACCTTCTAATTATTCAGAGAACAGCATGCCCCTCTTAAAGAGTAACATTCCCCTGTCTTGAACAAGAGTTATGGATTGTGAAATCAAGTGGAAGACCAGCTGTGCTAATACCACCATCAGCCCATCACACAGAGGCCTGGGCTTTCCCAGAGCTTATATGGCTCATAGGGATACACAGCACAAGCTGCACAAGCTCAGAGGTTCCCTCTTATGAACTGAACTTAAATGTCCAGTATCTTCTCATCAGAGAGGCTCAGCTCAAAAGAAAATTACAAGGAGTTGGAGTAAGGATGAACAGAAAGGAGAATTTGGATCCTTGCTCCATATTTGACAGAAAGGTGCTCTCATCCCTTTATTTCTAACATATGCAATCTCTTGGTCTTCTGAGACTGAAAACACATAGTACTCTCAATAAAACTGCTAGCAAGGATCAAGATGTCCTAAGAATAATGACATCTACTTCAGCTATTATATTACCTCAAATTAACAAATCAGAGCGTGTTCTAGATTTATGTACTGGTTCAAAGTGCATGTTAGACCTCAGAGCTGCTATAGGGCAGATCTTTCAGTGCCTGATGACTGGGAACACTGTCTTTGCACTCAGAGGCCTCATCCTTCTCAGGGCTCCTTGGGGACCAAGAGTAGACGCTGTATGTTTCTGCTTGGTAATTAAAGACCCAGATACAGTAAATTCTGGCTGAAGTTTTTTCCAGGGGAAACATGAAACTTTTCTTGTCCTCAGAAAATTGTTTTTGTAGAAAAGAATGATCTCACCCAGTTCCTGTAGCAAGGAAGCTATTGAGGGTCCTTTCTTGGCTGCATGGGTGGCTCCATTAGTCCTGTTTTTCACCCTTGGAGCATCTCCCTGGGAGGACTGTTTTGTTGAAGGTTCTCTCACACTACTAAGAATCTCAGATGAGACACATTTTGAGGATGAAACCAATTTAATCATAATTTCCAAATCTATCTAAGCCTAAAGTATTCAGGCTAGCAGTACTAACACTATTTATATTAGCAAAATTAGTTTACAATAATATCAGCACTACAGTACAAACATGTAGAACCTAACACCTTTCAAAAGTCATTGTCTTGTATCCTCCTCCCTATTTAACTGTTTGGAATCATTTGTCTTGTTCCTAAAAACCTTTATATGTAGTTCTATATGCCTAGCACTATGAGTCTGTCTGAGTCTTCCAGAACGTTAAGGCAGCACCTTCACATGAATTCTATGGTTTCACTAAGCATGAATCTGCAAAAAGTACTTCCTTAGCTTCTATACATCCCTAAAACTAAGACCAATCAGACACCAGGCCATTATTTTATTTTTTATTTTTTGGTCTTTTTTGAGGCAAGGTCTCCCTGTAGCTCCAGCTGACCTGGAACTCACTATGAAGACCAGACTGGCCTCGATCTCACAAAGATCTACCTGCCTCCACCTCCTGAGTGCTGGGATTAAAAGCATATACTGCCAGACCTGGCTAGGCTATTGTTTTTATCATATAAAAGAAATCCCAGATTAAGTCCAATAGCATGATTTGTTTACTTCCCTCAAAGAAAACCCCTTTGCAGATATAACTGCAGATTCTAAATCCTTTGTGCTGTTTTGTAAGCCTGTTTCTCCTTATACTGCCAAGCTATGATCAAGATCAAGAATATTTTGTTTTGTTCTTAGTACTACAACCTGGTAAGTAATTGTTCAGTAGTTCTTTGAAATCTTCCACTGTTCATTCAAATTCCACTGACTGTCCACTATAAAACCACCAACTCCCCTGACGTGGGAGTAGGGGAAATGGAGAATTATAGTTTATGACAGTGAATAAATAGCTATGATGATCTGAAATGATTCCAGCAGAAATTTCCCAGTGAATGTTCTTGTTGTTTTTAACAAATGAAAACATCAGTCCAGATCATGTTGAAGGTGAGAAAAGACATGCAAATAACAAGGGTCCCAGGAGTCTGGATCTGGCAAATGTCCTTCAAAGCACAAGTCAAATGGAAAGAGACGATGAGCGGGCAGCAGAGACAGCTTGAGCAGCAGCCTTTGGCTTATCTGTGTTTGCTCACTTCTCACAGCCTGCAGGATCCCTACCCTCCCTAGCACTGAAGACCAGGACCCAGAACAATTATCTTCTACAGAGGACATCATACATAAACACTTCAGAAGTTTACAAACTCAAGGCCTTTGAAAACCATGTGATAAATGCATCTATCAGACTTGAGGGTCTGGTCGAATAAAGGAGAAAAGGTAACACACTTTTTTCATTGCAGCAGGATCATTTTCCTATTAGAACAGCTACAACGAAGGCTCATTTTGAAACGTGTGATCCAAAGGTACTGATGTCCAACTGGCTGACAGGATGAATATCATTCTTTGGTGTTCTGAAGTGGTTAGGATTTATGAAGTTGCAGAATCACCATAAATTTTAAATGCGTTTTTATTAGAATCATCATGTTTAAAACTCAGGAAGTAATGGATTTTATAGGTTTGGGGCTTTAATATACTGAAAATATATAACTGTTGTCACTATTTTAATGAGATGACTAAAACAGCTTTATGCACAGGTATAGTCTCACTTGGAATAATATAAAATTCTGTCACCAAATAAAACCCGAGAAATTATCTAATCCAACCCTTTTATTTTACAGATGAGGTAGAAACCTAGAATAAATGATCTGTTTAAAATCACAATGAAAATTTGAGATTTTCAGTCAGAGCTAAAGGCAAGAACACCTAATTCCAATCCAGTCTTTTTTTCTCTCTCTCTCTCTCTCTCTCTCTCTCTCTCTCTCCTCTCTCTCTCTCATATTAGAGAAAAGCAAGAAAGTATCATAAATAGCCCACTACTGAGGGGAAAGTTTGATGGGAAAGGTTTTTCCATATTAAGTATTATAAACAGGGTCTGGAAAGGGAATTAGTATCACATGCTATTTTTGCCAGAACGGCTGTTAAACATGCAGCCATTCTCAATCTTGAATAGATATATCGAGTCAGGTGTTCCTCCACTTTCTTTCTCAGCAGACTCTGTAAGTACCTGAAGCTATTTTAGCACAGTAGAACACCTCTGTCTTCCATATTTTCCCCACAAACATACGGGCACATTCTTTTCATTTTAAGAGATACTTCAAAATGTCTGTTTCCTGGGGCTGGAGAGATGACTCAGTGGTTAAGAGCACTGGCTGTTCTTGCAGAGAACCCGGTTTTGATTCTCAGAATCCACACAGTGGCTAACAACCATCAGTAACTCCAGTTCCAAGGTAATCCAATGTGCTCTTCTGAGCTCTGTGGGCATTGCACAACCACTACACAGGTACACTTACATGTAGGAAATACACTCATATACATAAAACTAAAATATAATAAATAAAATATTTTTTAAAGTTGTTTCCTAAAATGTTTCAGCTTTTTCTTCCTGTATAAGACTTTGTTGCTAGCTCCAGTCCTTGTTGATCTAGCCTTTCTCTAATTTCCTATACACGTTTCAGTATTTTGTCAAGTACTCTTTTAAAACTATAGTTTAATATCTACAGTGGAACCTCTGTACCTAGGGCTCACAGAACATAGTGGAACAGGGGTTAGAGAGAGTAATAATGGATCTTTCAACTCTTACCATCGAAGCATCCTCATGTAGCAGAGGGGGATTAACACAGAAAGCCATAACTGGTCAAAATGTAGAGAATAAAAGACTGAAGAGTATGTGTCCTTGTATACGACTCCTGTATTAAACCTCTGCAATCTAGGGCTCAGGGACCATTGGGAAAGAAGAGATGGAAAGACTGTAAGAGCCAGAGGTGGTGGATGACCACAAGGAAACAGAGTTTCCCAGGCAGCTAGACTTGCTCATATGAATTTACAGCAATGGTGACAACATGTACAATACCCATGCAAACTAAAACCAGAAAAAAGCCAGCCCAGAACTGGGGAAATGGGTAAGAAGTCCCAACTTTAGTTGAAGAACAGCTGATCACTCCTGGATGAGGAAGAGTTGGTCTTCATTAAGGGAGTGATGACCAGGCTCTAGTAGATGAACTCATACCAAGGGCCATCTGAGGATGCTAGCTTACCTTGTTAGACCTTAACATATATGACAAAATGCATGAAATCTGGTGGGGGGAGGCTATCAGGTGGGTGCAGGTAAGGGAGGGGGATCTAAATATGATTAGATGTATTGTATGAAAT